AAAAAGGGACGATGGAGCCCCTTCGGGAGTAGAATGTTAGGCTCTTGCGAACGCGAACGTTAAATTCCATCGCGGCTGCGAATGTCCCCGACTAGTTTCTTCGCGGAAACTGAATCTTCATAACTCGCGCATGATCGTGCGTTGAGACTCTATTGAGGGTGGGAGATGAAGCGGATGATATAAACGTGACAAAGTAGTCGCGAATTTTATGATCGCTCTTTAAAATGGGCGCTTCTATCGTCGGTGATAAAGACAAGAAGAAATCAGAGCCTGCTACCGGTGAGGTCGTAAAGTTCGCATGGATTGTCCTTCCGCACCTGCTCCCGCGGCTGCATAATCCGCATTACGAGCATTTTTGCGGATAAGTACGGGGAAAGTAACGTTCGATATCTCCTAAATGGCTCAAGAAACAGGAATGCGCTTTTACCACAATATAGTCCTATATCAACACTAATCTGACCATAAAGTTCGACTCTCAATACTAAGTAGAAGCGGAGATGTCAACGGTACAAGTTGGAAAACTTTAACCTTCGGTATCTCCTAAACGGTTCAAGATACAGGAACGCGCCTTTGTCTCCTAAACGGTTCAAGATACAGGCACACTTTTTTGCCACAATATAGTCATATATCCACCTTATTCTCAACACAAAACTCATCACTCAATTCCCAGTAGAAACGGAGATATTGACAGTACAATTATGTTCCGATCAAGCTCCAGTCGGAGCGCATCGACATATTTTCGGCGATTCGCGCTCGCAGCATTTTTCGCTGATCGCTGAATTCAGTGATCTAACGGGAGAGCGACTTTGCGAGTTATGTTTACCTCGCGTGCACGTGAGTCTCACGCATGTAGTGCATGTAGTCAAACTCGGCATTTGTCTTCGACAATGCTCTACTTTTCTTTGTACACACAGCTGATCGTGATGTGAGATTTCGCAACGGTATCGACAACGTGGCCCAATAACCGGCGCCCATGTGTTCGATGTGCACGTGCTAACCGACTGATTGCTCGGATTTTTCGTAGAGGAACGTTCCTCTCCGCAAGCTTAGCCAGACGAATTTCTGCGAGCGTCTCGTTCTCACCATCGCGTGCGTTTCCGCGAATAGTGATGTTGCCGATCCATGGCGATTTATTTCTTTGTTAGCGTTCCTCCTCATTGTTACAATAAACGTTTGTCTCGTGAGTTTATTCGCGTCCGAGTGATTCTCCTCTTTTGACCCTCATTCGCAACAGTTAAAAAATTTAACCTTCAATATCTCCTAAACGGTTCAAGATACAGGAACGCGCCTTTGTCTCCTAAAAACGGTATGGGACTTTTATATTTGTCTCAACTCAATCTTTTTTTTTTTGGTCACGCAGGGGAAATCCTCATAAATACCCCCACCCCTTGGGGAGGGCGGGGGTTATATCGGACTTCTACCGACTAAAACCCCTGTGAGGTGCCTACCGCTCGGACCATGGTGGGGGAGTCAGGGGAACTGCGCCTGCATTCTCTCCCCGACTGTCTGAACCCAATCTACCCTCACACTTCGCGTTGACAGCTAATTACCGAACACTTCATATGATCTTCATGATATTAATGGCCGCGTTCAGTAGAACAAAGTGATCAGAGAGCGCTTAGTGATTATTGTCTGTGATTGGAGCATTCTTTTAGATTCTTCATAGACCCAAAAGTATTTACCAATCAGGAGCGAGATTCAATGGAAAATCTAATAATGTCCAACTGTTGAGTCTGCTGAATGCAGCCAATCATACACAATGTCAATTTTTTTTTGCACATGTTAACATGTAAAGCCAGCGGCACACGGTGCTTGTTTTCGTGCTGGATTGCTTGTTGGATGAGAATATTGCATTCTGATTGGTGCATTTCCATCCATCTTCGAAAATATACCAATCAGAACGCAGTATTTTCATCCAGCAAGCAATCCAGCACGAAAACAAGCACCGTGTGCCGTTGGCTTTAATCGATGTTATAATCGCGTAACAATATGCGAGACCGCGCTTGTCAAGTACGCTATTATGGTTGCATAGACAGAACTCGGACAGAAATCGCCTGAGAATGGATGTAGCACAGACTGTCACTACATGAAGGTTTTACCGCCGAAACCTGAAAATGGATGCAGATGGCGCACTTTCCCATTGCGGAAAATCGGTGTCGCCGACAACGCCGTGTTGGCCGCTCTCACGTTCCTCTCTGGTACTGGCGGTGAGTTGGTTGGGTTGCGTTCCGATATTCACTTCCAATACTGAAAATATATACTTTATGTCACATATATTATAGATTTTCAATACTGGCAGTGAATATCGGAACGCAGCCTTGATCGTGCATGCACTTCAGCCTTGCTCTCTGGAACGTGTCGCTCTTCTAGGATAAAATGGCTCCGAAACCGAAACCCACGGAAAAAGCAGGTCCGTAGCGAAAGTGTTTGCAGCGTTTGCATTTTTTGACGAACCAAATATTTTTCGAAATAAGGACCAGCATTTAATTATCTAACTTAATCTCGCAATGGAAACGAAAAGTTGACGTTGGTTACAACGACTACGGCATGCTTGCAACAATCATGTGGTCCATGATCATTAGAAAACATATTTATACATTATATTTACAGCAAAAACGATTACAAAATAATCTTTAACTCTATGTTCAGCTTCTTAAAAAATAAAATGTTTAAAACACCTAAATTAATGGAATCTCATTTTCAATATTTATATGGCCGTATCTTAACCTATAAAATATGGCAAGATGAAAATTAATAAATCTTATTGGTTTATATTTTTATGAATAATATATGTGAATGGTAAATATATTCTTAGAATATTTGCCTTATAAATTTAATGATTATGCATTATATCTAAAATATAGGCAAGCCTGCTGAGAAGAAAACAGAAAAGAAGACCGAGAAGAAGCCAGCTACCGCAGTTACTAGTGGTAAGGTGACAAAGACTGCGGTTAAGCCGGCTGCTGCAAAGAAACCTGCAGCTGCTTCCAAGCCAGCCACAACCACCAAATCTGCAGCCAAGCCTGCAACTAAAACTGTTCTTAAGCTTGCTAGCAAACCATTGATTAGCAAGCCTAAAAAAAATGTATCGGCCACCAAGAAGACTCCTAAAGGTGGAAAGTCACCAGTTCCTCTTCAAAAAGCTCTTAAGGCACAAAAAAAGGTAATTAAATTAATTATTATAAATTGAAAACAATATATATATGTACACACATATATCGCATCATGTATGAATATTATATTATATATAAATTGACAGCAAATAATTAAAAATTACTTTATTCCAATATCAAAAAATACATGATGAAGTTATATTTGGGAATCTCTTTGAATTTTCATGAGAATACTATTCAAATTACTGAAAGAATAAAGTATATTAAATACGTATCACTGTATATTTTATATAGATGCTGACAAACATGCATATTTGTATTTTGTAGATTTTGAAAGGAGTACATGGCTCAAGAGTGAGGAAAATCAGGACATCGGTTCATTTTCATAGACCCAAAACACAAAGACCCTCAAGGACACCTAAATACGCACGAAAATCAGTGCCAAATAGGAATCGGTAAGAATTGTATTTCTGAAGAACACTTTTGGATCTTAAATCTATATATTTAGAATTTTTTTCTGAGCTTTATTTCAATGCAATTTGTTTTTAGTATGGATGCTTTCAATATCATCAAATATCCTTTGACAACGGAAGCAGCAATGAAAAAAATTGAAGACAACAACACCTTAGTCTTCATAGTTCACATGCGCTCTAATAAATATCATATTAAGGCGTCGATCAAGAAGCTATATGATGTCGATGTAGCCAAAGTTAATACTCTCATCAGGCCAGATGGGAAGAAAAAAGCTTACGTGCGTTTAACGCGCGATTACGACGCTTTGGACGTTGCAAACAAAATCGGTATCATATAAATATGATGCTTGTAAAACAAAGTCTATATTGATAATAAAATATCATTACGGTAGATCGGACTCTTTAATCCACTGTTCCGCAACCCTTTGCTTGTGCATTAAAAAGAAGTATATCCTATCTTGGAAGGTCAAAATTGTTCGTAGATGAAATCTGTAAAATTTTAAGTCTGCATTTATCAACCGAGAAAAAGTATCGATTATCGATACTTTCATGTATCCCTATCGCCATCTATCGTGAGCAGAAGGATTCAATGATGGTTTGACTGTATTATCGTCGAATGCATGCAACTGTCAACGACTGCGTTCAGCAGAACAAAGTGATTAGTGAGCGTTTAGTGATTATTGTCTGTGACTGGAGCATTCTTTTAGATTCTTCATAGACCCAGAAGTTCATAGAACCAATCAGGAGCGAGAATCACTAAGCGATCATTTTGTTCTTCTGAACGCAGCCAACGTGTGTGACTTGGGTTGGTTTAGGGCCGGTTGTTCCAACTTCTGGGTAAGTTAACCGATAGTTAAATCATACGTTTGTCTTTATTTTTCCTTCAATTTGGACAAAGACAGACATATGATTTAACTGTCAGTTAACTTACCAAGAAGTTGGAACAATCGGCCCTTAAAGTTTTAATCATTGGTCAGTCCTTTGTAGTTGCACTGTTGAACTGGTGCAATAAGTTAAAGTGAGACAAATATAGGTTTTCTCACTCTATCTATCACTAGTATGTGGTCTGTTCTTTGTAGCTGCACTGCTAAACTGGTGCAATAAGTTAGCGTGAGAAAACCTATATTTGTCTCATATTAACTTATTGCACCAGTTCAACAGTGCAGCTACAAAGAACAAACCATAGATAGAATAACAACAATGATACAGATAAAGAATGAAAGAATAATAATATTCAGTGACTACATTTTAACAAGAAATTGATATATTGCTCAAATTTGAATATAAAATAGAAGTGTAAGGTAGGTGATATATATATCAAATGTAAAGCATGTACAAATCTCATAAAATTTAACCTTTACATTACTCATATTTCGAATTATCGTCACGCATTATATAGAATTGCTGATCAAAGATGATAGAACCACCAGGATGGAATTCTAAGAAGGATGAGAGCATCTATAAAGCTGCTGGTGCAATGCACTTGCGAAAATATGGGGTGTTTTTCGAAAATCTGGTGGAGAAGTCCTGGGGAGGCGACTCTGCATTAGAATACATTGTGGAAGGTCCTGTGCGGCTGGTGTACAAAACAATAGAGGACATCAGCATCATCTCCTTGGTAGAAATGGAGAACAAAGTCTTGTCCAAGCTGCTGGCAGCAGTGGCAGGTACATGTAGGGAAATCAGGTTGCTGAAAATAGAAGCTGCAGGATTTTATGCGAAACTCTTTGCACATGGGGAAAGATGTATGGATAACGATCTCACTGATATAACTAAGTTGCTATCTGATCTTCAGGATCTGTCCATCTTTGCCAACCGAATGTTAACTGTTGTATACTTAACTACACAGCAGTTGGCGAGTCTGTCAGGTGGTGTCCACGATATCTATTTACCAGCTTTGATAGAAGGCTTTGTAGACTTGTTTGTGATCCTTATGACTCTGGATGAGATCGTTGATGTACAATCGACGATAGTAGATCAATGGAAAAAATACAGAATGCATGTACGTTCCATGATGCACAATCCGTCGCAATTTGGAGTTGCTGAGACAAAGCTGGAAACATTTGATCATCTTCTTAGGGACCTACAAGAGAAACTATTACGACGAAATATGTTTCTGAAAGCTATCGAGCACGTGATGGATGTGAACAAAGGCCCCCTCATGAACGAACAGATCGTCAGCTACCTGAAGAACACGATGGCGGACATAGAGAGCAAATCCAACGATCACGCCTCATTGAATAAGAATTGGATAAGAGTCAACGTCGGTATCGTTGTTGCGATCAAACTGTTCGGCTCCTACGACAAGAAGCTAGTCAAGAGAGTGTTGGAGGCGAACAAAAAGTTCTATGCAGTCACGTTGATCGGGAACGTCGTATGGGTACCCAGCAAGTTCCTCAGCGACATCGTGCCGAAGGAAACCGGCAACGTGGTAAGCCCTCAGGTGGGCGAGAAAATCCTGCAGGCGAGAACTCAAAGGCTACCGATCACGGTGAACAATTTGATACACAGAGCGACCACTTGGTGCGTGGAGATGCAGAGCATCCTGACGAGGATCAATCTCCAGGTATCGGACATAGGTCAAAAGCGCACTTTGCTCACTGACCTGTTGGCTTTGTTGTCCCAGATGAAAGAAACCGTCTCGTTCGTGACAAATCTTCATGCCTTGCTCTCGAAACCGATGAATCGGGGCACAGTGCAACTGATCTGCAGGCTTATGGAATTGCAGAAGTCCCTGCAGACGACGTTCCACGCGCTCGGACCAGTCGTGGTGCAGTCGCAGGCGCAGGTGTTACAGTATATGACTTATTATGTGTTGGCTCTGCTGGAAACGGCGCGTAAAGGTCTCGTACAGAAGGATAAAGGTTACAGCAGGGAACGACTGGACGCTTTGTCCTTGATAGGATTGAGTATGCGGCTGATGGGCGGCCCAGCGAGCGCAGATCGCAGGCTAATTGTGCGCTGCGCGCTTGCCTGCGCCAACCAGTTGACCGACACGTTCCGTGAAGAGGATGTGGTGAAACTGAGATACTTGCTAGATAGTTACGACTCTGTGGCCGAACTGTACGAGTCTGTCGATGATCTCTGCGACTACTCGTTGCTGCTGCATCATCAGAACATGCTGCCGGCGTACTTCACCTCGATCATCGACGGCAACTCTAACATTTGCCACCTCGCCCACTTGTTCGCCGCTTTCCACAGTGCCATGGGCGAGCAGAAGTCGAACGAGTTGAGAGACAAGCGTATTGTAGAGCTCAGGGAGGGTCTAGTGAAGAGCGTGCTAAAGCCAGCTTGCCATGAGATCGAGACCAGCCTTCGGCTTCATGTGCATGCGCATCTTAAGCTCGATTCCGCCAATCCCTTCAACGTTGGCACTAAAGACGGCTGCAGGGTAGTGCGAGCACCTCCATTGCCCTTGGCCGAGAATATGGTTTGCACAAAGAGGTTTGTCGAGCACTACTTGGATGATATGTTCTACAATCTAACGACAGTGGCTTTGCACGATTGGAGGACCTACCGAACGATGCATGCGTTGGCCAGTTATAAGATGGGTCTGGATACTGTGCAGAATCACCTGCCGACGCAGACGTTGGAGCAGGGCCTGGACGCTTTGGAGATTATGCGTAACATCCACGTATTTGTTTCCAGGTATACAAGTTGAATATATTCAATTGTCATTGAAAATGTGAAATGAAAAGTCAAGATAAATATGTCAAAATGTCTTTGCTGAATGTCTTGAAAGGTAGGATAGTGTGGGAAAGTTATTTTTAAAAATAACATCAAAATTCTCTCTCATTATTATCATCCGAAACCTGCAATTACATTATCATTAAAACTAAATGTAACGTGTTCTTAATTATCTTCAACAAAAAATAGAGTTACCCGTTGCTTGGAAAAACTAATTGCCTCATGTTCGGCAGATACCTATACAATCTGAACACACAAACGTTCGTGGAGCATAGCAGTGGCAACAAACACCTGAACACCATCGGCATCAGACACATCGCCAACTCGATTCGCACCCACGGCACCGGCATCATGAGCACCACGGTGAATTTCGTGTATCAGTTCCTGCGCGTCAAGCTGCACACTTTCTCGCAGTTCCTCTTCGATGAGCACATCAAGTCGCGACTGATGCGCGACATCAGGTTCGTGCGGACGCAACGGGAAGCCGGGGGCACTCCTTATACGTACGAACGTGCGGAGAAGTTTCAGAAAGGCATCCGGAAGTTAGGCATGACCACTGACGGATTGAGTTACCTGGACCAGTTTCGCCAGTTAATCACGCAGATCGGCAACGCGTTGGGCTACGTGCGGCTGATCCGTTCCGGCGGCCTCCACGCCAGCTCGAACGCGGTATCCTTCTTACCGGATATCGAGAGAACGGTACCATTTGAATCGCTTTGCCGCGGGCTGAATTACAGTGCGACCACGCAAGCCGCGGCCAAACGGCTAGAGGCTGACATTGCCGACCTGGTACGCAACTTCACCGAGGGTATACAATACTTCAAGCTGCTGGTGGACGTGTTCGCGTCGGCGTTCCGCGACGCCAAGTCTTATCATTTGCAGCAGTTCTACGCCATCATGCCGCCGTTGACGCTCAGTTTCGTCGACAACTCCGTCTCCAACAAGGAGAAGATGTTCAAGAAGAATCAACAGGGCGCGGCCTTCACCGATGACGGTTTTGCCATGGGCATCGCCTATATCAACGCGCTGCTCGACCAGAGCGCTGAGCTGGACGGCTTGCACTGGTTCAAAACGGTGGAACAGCACATCGCTCAGGAGAAGCACGCCGCAGAGAGCAAGGACGATCATGGAGATGAGAAGCTCCAGCAGACCAGGGCGCTCACGTTGAAACGTTTGGCTGAGAGGAACGCTGAGTTCCAGTTGTTGTATTACAGTCTCTCCGGTGCCAGGGTGTTCTTCAAACAACCCGACACGTAGCATCGAACAGTCCATCAGTTTTGATGAAGATCATTTTGTGCTCTGTCTTATCGCTGGTCACTCTGAAGTTAGGCAACTACGAAGGTTTAAGCGAAAATATGTACGATGGTATTTTTCTTTCCTAACTTCAGTTTTAAAAAAGATAAGGCTGAAACAAAATATTGGAGATTAAAGATCGCGGGTTGGAACTTTGTCGATTAAAATAAAGTGACGAGGGGTCGGAATCAGTGAAATTCGTATTTCTGATTCTGGTCTGTAATTTGTGCAATCCTCTTTTTCCAATATTTGCTTTGATATCGGTTTAATAATATGGAGTAAATCAATACAGCTCGATCCGGCTTCTCTTCCATTTATTCTTGTATATATGTGACCGCCGTAGCACATATTGTTGCGTCTGTAAATGACTTAGACTATGGTCATTTTTATAAATAATTTTCTACATTCACAATATATCGTTATAGTATCAGATTCCTGTTCAATAAATAATGGCTAGAGTGGGTGACTAGGTTTTTTACGTCTAAAAGTGGGTGCAACGGATGTGTTTACCGCACCGTATGGGTATGTGCGTTCTATATGTGTGTTGTGTGTGTGTGTATGTATGTGTGCGTACGTGTGTATGTGTGATCGCAATCGCAGAATTGAAGGAATAAATGGACGAAGGCGCATGGTGATGTAACGTTCTGTGACGTCTCGAGCTTCAGAGCGAATCACTCGATCGAGAATGCCTCGCTCGGAAATCATTCCAAGGTGCCACACAAGCTGATGATTTTGACCGAACGTTAAGTTGATTTTACCAAGTGAGGATCATCGAAACAGCAACAAGTACTATCCCACAGAATGTTAATAAATTATAAGAGTGGCACATCTTTCGTAAGAATGTGACGTGAATCCCTTCATCCATTTCTTTATTCTTTTTTTCGACAAATCGATCGTTTCAAGGGAGTTGCGTATCCACTTTCCCTAGAGAGTCCGACCTTCCGAAAGGATCGATTCAGTCCAAATGGACGTCGAGTCTCCTAAGTTCCCAATAAATTCACCCTCCCTAATAACATTAATGCACTATCGGCATACAATAGACACAGATGTATATATACAACACGATCAGCTACCCTCATAGTCGTAAAACGCGTATATTAACAAATAAAAACAAACAAAGCGAACGCAGGGACGCGCACTTCGTGATAAAAATTGCCTCGCGAGATTCACGCGCTCCAGTCTTGATTCGATCGTCGCATGCCGAATCCAAGCGGTCACACAACAATCGCAAATAACGTAGAGACATGCCACAACGAAGTGTTAAATCTATCGGGACAAAATTCCGTGTCGGCACTATCAATATATTGCAAACAATATCACATCGAACTCGTCGGAATTGTGAAACAATCTCTATCTTACCGGGAAATACATTAATATCAATCAACGCGCTACCGTTCTACATGGTACGTGTACATCTGCCTGTTTGCCGAAATACGAACGTTTTGATAATTTTTTTCACCGTTCAACCAAACAACATCTCGTTTCCCGTTATCTTTGCTCTTCTTCTCTTCTCTCCCTTTCTTTCTCCCCGCCGAGTTTTTTCATTTTCTCGCCATAACGTAACAGAGTCAGTCTCAGCCTTGCGATTTCGTTATCACGGTGCATCGCCGGGCCGTTGCGTGAGCCAGAAACCTAAATTGCTAATTAACTTATATCTTTTACGATTCCGCGCGCGACTATCGTGTTCGTCGCATTACAACGACATAGATATGCTTATTTCCGACGTGACATCTAAATTACATTAAGCTTCGTTCACCGAGCTCCGACCTCCTCCTTCGAAATGAAACGAGCATGGGTGCTCCTACTCGTAGGTACGAGTGTCTGTCTTAGGATTGAGGTCTGGATGACTCCTCCGGGTCCAGGAGATCGTCGCAGGAAGCCGTCGGCGGCAGCAATTGCCTGCCGCCGCGCTTTTTACTGCGAGTGAATACTTTCGTAAGTTGCGCGAACTTGCGTCGAGACACTGTAATGACACGTTCGTCGTTAGCATATAATTTGCGAACATTGTTAATTAGAATTGTTGTCGCTTGCGCGTCGTTATACGCGCGTATACTTACTTTTGCCCATGTTTCTCAGTCTTTCTTTAAATAGATCCTCGTCGTCGTGACCAGTCTGACCGCCGCATTTCTCGAGTTTCGAGTCTACAAGGAGAAAGGAAAAGTAGATTTTAGGTTTGTTGGACACTTGCTTGCACTATCCTGAAGCTGAACGCGCGATTGTTTACCATGCTCCAACGTAGACAAAAAGTCCTCGTTCCAACGAAGCTCCGCCATGAATTCCTCGTTCTGAAGAAACATGGCGATTCTCTCGTCCTCCAGCATAGAATTCTCCTGCGGATATGCCGAGTCAACGGCATCGTCGGATGTTTGCTGAGGAAGTCTCAGAAAGGTATCCGGCAATGGCCCCAATAATGGAGGTTGCCACTTGTGGATATTTTTTAATGATTTACTAGAGTCCTTCTGTGGTGACTTTACCACGTTTGGAAGTTCCTCTTTCTGCTCCAATTCACTTCTGATCTTCTCATTCTCGTTATCAGTACTCATAGTAAGCAATTGGTCAATTGTTGTATCCACAGCACCCTGATTAGATCTCAGCACAGCCTGGTGAATATTGACAGAATAAGAATGCATGATATAAGAATGAGGATATAAGACATAAATTATTTATAGATTGACCAGAATGTGATACAATAATATTGATTTTCAAGAAACACAAGGCTCTTACTTCAATCACATCATCGTCCATTTGTGGAAACATGTTCTTGAAGTCAGCCATCGCCTGATAAAATTCCAGGGTAGTCTGTTGTTGCTGTTGCTCCGTCGCAGAGGCCATGGTGAGTATTCTTCGAGGGACGTCGGCCTGATAACGTAATCAGACTTGTTAATGAGAATGAGTTTGCATGTCAGCGGCACACGCATTAATAGTTCATTACCTGCAGTTTTCAAGAAATGACGGCTGCGAAAAGACTACCCATGCCGGTTCTGCACCGTCCTGAATCGCGGCTCCTTCGGCTCGTGCGTCCAGCGATAATTAGCACGGTGTCATTTTTCCCGGACGATTAATTGCGATCGAGCGTGTGTGTATTTGTCTGTGCGTGTGTGACTTGTTCAAAGTACGAGCCGGTCGGTTAGCCGGTGATTGGCCTACGTCATCGTGTCGGAAGTCGAGAGGGCTCGTCAGCTGTCGAAATGCGAGAGCTCACAACTTCATCTGGCTCCGCGCTGCTCAGTGACTTGACCTTTGAAAGTGACACCACCGTGCGTGCTAAGACTCGCAGTCACATCGCGATTTCTAATTTACGGCTAATGGACGTCCCACAGCGCGCTTGCGGTGAACGCATGAACGGATAACGATAACGGGCGGTCTCGAGATCTTTCTCGATAAGTTTTGGAACGCTAGTTAGTTGGAAAGAAAAAATGGAAAAAAATTCTCTGCAACTGCATTTAAAAAGTAGACAGATACTTGAAAGGAAGATACGGTGAAAGGAGGGGAAAAATGGAAAAATTGGACAAAATATCTCAGAAACTCGGAAGCTGTAAAAAACAGATTATTATTGATTTTTTTCTTGCAATTTAACGTGTATGTAGATTGTAGGTTTTTGGTTATTTGACACATCGCATTTACCGTCTATCATCGATTTCATTTCAAGTGCAAGCAGTGCTGGTGCAACTGCAACGAATAATCTAAAGCCAGCGGCACACGGTGCTTGTTTTCGTGCTGGATTGCTTGCTGGATGAAAATACTGCGTTCTGATTGGTGCATTTCCATCCATCTTCGGAAATGTACCAATCACAACGCAATATTTTCATCCAGCAAGCAATCCAACACGAAAACAAGCACCGTGTGCCGCTGGCTTCAGAAATGGATCAACTACATTTGATTATTTTTGTCATAATCGACTGTAATTGATTTATTTCTTATCGCTTACGCTTACTTCTTACTGCTTACTGCCATTGTAGACCACGCTTATTAGAATCACACCACTGAATAAGTTGCAAACACCCAGTTATGAGTTGCGAAAGATGGCAACTATACTAGTTACAAAGTGCTATTTTCGGCTGTAAGAGATAGTTGCGATTGCCGGTTGCCGTCGCCAAGAAGTTAAAAGTTGGGCAACTCTCTTTAAGCAACCGCAACTGTCTTACGACCGAAAATAATACTTTGTAACTAGTAGTTGCCATTCTTCGCAACTCGCAGCCTGAGTGTTTGCAACCTATTCTGGACCTGGCTTCAGAGTCCAACGATCGCAATTCGATCATCTTCACAGCTTGTGCTCCGCAGGTGCATAAGCTCCTGCTAATTAGCAAAAGATTGCTTGTTTTCAGATATTTCCAAATCGTCCGGCGGCTTTTAATAAAGTTCATTCATCTGTGTCGTCATTAATCTAAAGCCCGTATCAGACTATGGATTGGGATTGAGATTAGATTGAAATTTGACCAATTGAAAAAGAGAAAATAATCTCAAGTATAGTAAACTTACTCCTGATTGGTTAAATTTCAATCCAATACTCAATCCCAATCCGTAGTCTGATACGGGCTTAATGGCCTTCGTGGTGTTTGCACATTCCCTCCGGCAGATGGCGACAATCGTCGGCGTTCTGAAGAAAGCGAGCACAGGCGTTCAATGTCTCGTCTGTGTCATTGATGTCTTGTCGTCGTCGTCGTCGCTGTTAGAATTGTAGTGTTCGCACTATTATTTTCTAAAATCCTTATACGTTGGTACAGCGTGTGTAGTCAAAGCAGCGAGAGCAATGGGCGACCAGCAAGAAGGCAAGGACTTCAGTGAAGACGTGGCTGAGCAAAATTTCGACAAGAACGGCGATGCTGAAAGCGGCGACGTCGGCGATGGCGGAGACGCCGTGGAAAATGGCTCACAGGACTCACAGGAGGACAGGTAAAATTTTCCACACTATTATTCGCCCGTAGTCGCCATCCGTCGCGATTGGAATCGATTTTCACATCTTCCTCGCAGTCTTAGGACCCGTCGACTCGCGTTCATCGCACTTTGCGTGCATTTTCCCGCGAAATTGCTCGGCGTCGTCCCCCTCCGCCGCGGGCTCCTCGCTCTCTCGCTGAACGAACAAAATGGCGATAGGCGAGCCGACGAGACGTAATCCGTTCACATCGGCCGTACAAACGAACATTTGCGCGATTCTTTTGGGACGTACGTCTGCAACGCACTCGCGACTGCGTTTCTTTTCTCGTCGCCGGTGTCCTCCGACGCGTGTTCGGTCGGAATTTCGGATTATCATGACGTACGGGATGTCGGGGCTTTTTACGCGGCTTGAGAGAAAAAAGAGAAAGAAAGAAGTGAGGAAGGGTGGAAGGAAAGAGAAAGAGATACGTGTGTATAGATAGATTCGTTCACGTTACGTGTACTCTGCACTTTCTCCTGCGCGCAGTATTTTGCATTTTTATAGAGTTTTTTCTCCCTCTTTTTTTTTTTTCCATCAATAAAATGCGCAGGCCATGTTCGTTTGTTTTTTTGCTTTCTCCGTCAGAAGCGCAGAAAGTACACGAGACGCAAACAGATCTAACGTCACTTTGCAGCTTTGTATTTGGTATTTATCACATAGACATCTACGGGTCTAACTGAGCAATGCTCCGAATTTGTGCAATGAATGGAATAATGAGTATTTGTTGATACAATAATATAATTGTGAATTATTGAACAATTTACTGCATCATATTGATAATGCATTTGCGGTAAATCCATTTGGATCATATATATATATTATATATATTTTATATTGTTTGTCACACACGAGTATATATATAAAATAAGGTAAATATATAATTATACATTATTATATTAATTATACTTGTGACTATACATGTGCTACAGTTATACGAGGTATGTGTTTATCTGTTTCCAAGCTTTTCTAACTTTTTTGTAAATTTCTTTCTGTTCTCACTTAGCTGTTTAACTCTCTTCTAGTCCTATAATTAATGGAGGGCAGTCACAATTTCAGCATTGATAAAGAGTTTGTATGTATATGTAGATCCTACTTATATATATTTTGTAAGAATATGTAACATTTGTATATTATATTTTTTTTTATAGAGTATAATTTTGAAATCCAGTTTGATCAGTTGCGAGTCATCTGTCCTTATTCACAGTACATTACAGTCAAATTCAGATTAGTCAATTGCTCAAAACGATTGACAATGCATCCATGCTTATCTCTGGGATCTCTGAATTGAAGTGCGAAGCCTCGTGAATGACTTCGGGGTCGGAATTATTGTGCGAGCGATCCGCATCGAGTTCAAGTCCATCATGTTCCTTGGCGACACGAGAGCGCTGGAAGTCGAGTCAAATTACTTGAGATCAAATATGTGCCGCAGTGACACATACCTTGCCTGCTGGATAATACGTAGAGTAATTTCCGCTGTCGAGTGATATTTGGATTATATTGGGCATAAACAATGCACAGAGACACTAGGGCCAATGCATATATCTCTGATAGCTGAATGCCATTAACGCAGTTTATATGACTTGGTCTGCAGGTGGCAAACATCCCGGTGCGATTATGGCAGGCTGCTTGCAACCGGCTAACTGTGACCTGACCTGACAACAGATACCGGCGAGTAACTGGTACCCATGGTATTTATCATCAGCCCTAGATGATATACAAAAATGATATATATCTATTGATAAAACGTATATAAGTACAGACTAAACACTGCCGGAAAAAAAGTTAAAGGAAAGATAGAGAAAACGGAAACAGCAAAATGTACATATTGCAGCTTGTTCTTTGAAAATGCGAAGTAGTAAAAAAAAAGTGTATCTCAAGACTCGAGACAGTCGTGTGTAATATAAGCCTCATTGACGAGCCATGAATTGTACAAGTGTCTGAATGTAATATTGTGCCGTAATATATGTCGCTTAGTGAGAGAAATCAAATAAAGATAACAAAGAAAGAGCAAAAAGAGAATGAGAGATAAGAACAGAGCAAATTCATGCATCAATGACCAATGTTAATCTTTGTAACATATGGAAATTAATTTTTAGCTTTCCAATAGAGTTGCAGTCGATCCTACCACATGCCACTAATTTGGGCCAATTAATAATCGGGATTTGTTACGTTAGAGAAGTTATTTATATTTTCTTTAGGGGCAGCTGTATGTCAACTGGAGTTGTAGCTTATTTGGATCATCGTTAATAATAGTATTTTGCTCTCTTTGATGCGTTGTCTCTACACGTACATACACACATATACACACATAATACACATACATCGCATATGTATATGTACCTTTTTTCTAAAAAGAATACTTTTCCTTTAATGTTTTTGACGAACATGTTATGGTGTTCAAATCGAGTTGCCTGTGGTGCGCGCAAAGCCGTCTCCTCGTAACTTCAATTTCACTACGCTATCGCGTAGCAACTGCGTATGTAACTTTTGTATAATATAACGTACGTATAAATTTATCAGAGTTCATTTGTTCTAGGGATGGTATATTGTAGCTTTATACTTCTTGCTGTTAGAAATGTAACTATCTTGTTTAGTCACATGCAAGGAACGTGTTTATTTTTCCAAATCTACATATGTAGGACAATATCTTGTGTTTTTGTGTTGCTGCAATTGGAATTCCAATACGAGCAATATGTAATCGCACTTGTATAAATACATCAAAATTATTTTGCAGTGCCCTTTTTGCAGATAGCATCGTGGATCATCAAATGCACTCTATTAAGTTTTTAGTACGACTCTGACTTTGCGCAGGAATATACATTCTTGAATCGCCTTGCGTAAATTTTTGCAAACAATTAGCTTCGTTAGTGCAGTGTCTCTGTAAAAGATTTTTATGCCGAGCCTTTTTTTTTTGGTAAAAATAAATTAGTTCCATTGCTTTGCAGGTTGACCGGAAGTAATCAGGACTCTATATCATTGATATATAGGCACATTCAATTTCTCTATTTCTCTTTCATTTACTTTAACATAGTGTGCCTGCTAAAATTCAATTGAAATAATAAACCGCAGTCGTAAACGCCGCGATAGCGGTCGAAAAGTTAGGGCGACAACAAAGAGTTTCTCTTCCATTTCATTTATTTAAAAATATTATTTCTGCTTATTGCTTACAGAAAATTATTTGTCGGTGGTTTGAGCTGGGAGACAACTGACAGTAAGTTCTATCGTATACCTAGTGAACCGCAAAATATCGTCGAAGATAAAGTTGTACTTTATCCCGGCGAAAGACTCCGCGGGCATTTTTGTTCTTTATTTCATTATTTTTTACTCGTTGTGTTTCCGCATTTCAGAGGAATTAAGAGATCATTTTAATACATATGGAGATATTGAGAGCATTAATGTTAAGACAGATCCCAATACGGGCAGATCGAGAGGATTTGCCTTTATTGTCTTTGCTAAAGCCGAAGCTCTCGATAAGGTAAATGCAATAATTTTTCTTTATCCTAGCCGAGTGCAACAGAAATTGTTGTCACGGCCAAAAAAGATGAAAAATATTAAATGCAATAAATGACATACATGTATATAATAACCAAGTGACTTTCTTTGCAGATCATGTCAGCCGGCGATCACGTCATCAACAACAAGAAGGTCGATCCGAAGAAGGCGAAGGCCAGACATGGTAAAATCTTCGTCGGTGGTCTCTCGACGGAGCTGTCCGACGACGATATAAAACATTTCTTCTCACAATTTGGTAATGTAGGTGTCGCTTGTTAAATCACAGTAGAACGAAATTGTTTTACACATACGATTTATTGACACACAACTTTTCAGATTGTTGAAGTGGAGATGCCGTTCGACAAGACAAAGAACCAGAGAAAAGGGTTCTGCTTCATTACGTTTGAATCCGAGCAGGTGGTTAACGAGTTGCTCAAGACACCGAAACAGACCATTAATGGAAAAGCAGTGAGTCTTCTAGGTTCTTCATCGTTACTCATGAACGAAACACTCGTCGATTTCAGCAGCCGACGATACCGTTTCGTTTTCCATCATTTTCTTCTACCCTAATTGAACTTCAATTACTCCCCAGGTGGACGTGAAGAAAGCGACACCCAAGTTAGACGGCATGAGTGGAATGCGCGGCGGAATGGTGGGGCGCGGTAGAGGTTCTCGAGGCGGACGAGGTCGTGGATTTGGAGGACAAGGTGGCTGGGGACAAGGCTATGGCAGCGGCTACGGAGGAAGTTACAGCCAAGGTGGCTACGGTAGTGGCTACGATGGTTACGGTGGTTACGATTATTATGGCGGCGGTTATGGAGGTTACGGTGGTTATGACTACAGCGGTTACGGCGGTAATTATCTTTCTTTCGTGTATACATGCATATTGTAAGCGAGTCGGTGTGTTCGTACATATAAGTTATATATATACATATGTAACATCTATATATTTTGTTTATATTATATATAACATATATAATATATATTATATATATAATGTGTATATATATATATATATATGTGTGTACAGAGTGAAGTGTCGTTCTCCGTTGTATAAAACGGTCAATATTTCTCAATGATTCTCTTCGGAGGTATCCCCCGTGCCCATTTTCGGGCATAGATTTTCGTCAGTTCTTTTTCCGGAATATCGCGATGCATTTGATTCTCCTGTTCTTTAACTTTTTGTTTTTCCCTTTTGATCGCTGTACGACGGTACAGGCGAGCGCTGACTCCATTGTCTCTTGTATCGTGTGTTTCATGAAACGCAGATGGCTACGGCTATGGCGGTGGTAATTACGAAGGTGGCTACGCGGGCGGGCGCGGTGGTGCACGCGGTAAAGGTACGCATCAGCGTTCCTTGATATTCTATCCATGATCTTGTATTTTTGCTGTATCTCTCTTTTTTTCTCTCTCCCTCTATCTACTTCTTGTACTCAGTTTGACGCTTTGCCACCGCTAGAAATTGTACCGTGCATATCCATCCTTTGCAGTAACTTTGCAGCGACTTGGATCCGACTCCTGATTCGGGATGAATCGCGAACGTGAAAGTGTAGCTTCGACATAAACCTTAGTGAATTTTCAACTGTAGAAGCAGTGACGTATATTCGGCCGAAAAAAAGATTCTGTTTAATTTTTCATGTTCATCACTTCGTTGCTTATTAGTTCATGTTGCTTACTCGTTATTACAGAATGAAGACTCGATTAACGATTATGAAATGTTTCTACATGTCTGTCAAAGAAAGGGAAAAATATCGTTCCAAACAGTGTACAGCTTATCACCTTAGCTTGTAGTTTTTTTGTTCTTATGTTATGTGTAGTATTAATAGTAATAATAGTAGTAATTGTAGTGTTAGAAAATAATATATGTAGTAATAATGTCTTTCCCCTTTGGCATAATCTTTATAATAATAATGTATCATATATGCGTGTGTTACGTTGCAAGAGAGTCGACTTGTAAATTTATGTATGTGGTTATTTAGTGTCTTATATATATATAAAATTCGTCCTAACCAAATATACTAACTGTGTGTACGGTGACGGCATGTTTCAGGTGGATCAGGCTATGGCGGCAAACAAAGAGGAGGTGGTGGTCGTCAAAATCAGAGGCACCAGCCATACTAACGAAAATCCTCATTCGCGACCGCAGTGCAATTCGCGTTGTAATCGCTGGTGAGTTGCCGTGACTCTGAGATCCTTGTGCTTCCACACTTATTATCCTTGGAATTGCGGCGAGATATCAGTGTTCGTTTCTGTCGTGAATGTGTTAATGGGTGCTCGTAATATTTTTACTTTTGTAACAGAAAATACGCGAATTTAACTTAAATCTTTGTTATAGTTTATTATTATCTACATACGATCATGGCGATATTATATGCACATATATATATGTGTGATATATACGTATATATATACATATATATATATACATATATTATGTATATACGCGCGCGCGCGCACACACACACACACACACACACATAAATATATATATATATATATTATGTATGTATATATTTTTAAATATAAAGTAAACATTACATAGTCTACTTTTGCTTTTCTTCACAGGTAATCTTCCTCACTACAGATCTCGTCGTTCGTCCAATCGTCATTCCATTTAACCGCGTCCCTTCCAGAAGATTTCAACAAACACCACCGTACCGAGAAACCATAATCGAGACAGCAGTTAGCGATTTCATTTTATATTTAATTCCACGTGTATATGCTTCCCTTTCTGCCGTTTACAGCCTAAGCCTGTAATTGTGTTTCTCCTTTTTAACTATACGATTGCGGTAGAAAAGCAAGCATATAAAAAAAAATATCACTGACAACATTGAATGTACGCCGAATAAGAAAGTGAAGTATCGACGACAGTATAAATAATCTTGAAAAAATAATGTTGCCGTACAATAGTTGGTGAGATAAGAATAGTTGTATAAAATAAAATGATATGTAAACACGGTAACACGCGACATAAAAATATTTGCGTTATTACTGAGGAACTAATCGTATGTACACGATTATTTCCACTGTAACCCACTACACGTATCTTCTGACTCCGATACTCAAACTAGTTAGATACGTCGCAGTTGTAAAGAATTCTCTGCTGGACTGTATCTGTGATCAGTCGATAAATTTATTTTACGTAATGTCGGTTGTTATGTTTGAGCGGACTCGTCGTTCGTTTAACAGAGATTGTTTTTTCTCTTACCGTGCTATGTTATATCTTTCGAAATATAACATCATTGTGTTGTACATAACTCTACTAGGTGTTGTTCTCTTTAGTATAATGTATATATTTTTGCACGCGTGTTTAATATCGGAGATGGTATATATACCATTTTAATATATTAGAAGTTTAGTGAAAGAAGAAATTTTAGCTTCATTGGTCGGAATAACAATTACTGTGGTAAGCTTTTGTTTCTTGCTTAAAGTTCAAAACTATAACGTAATTTTCAGTTGATTAGTTATGAAGGTAGTACTTTTTATCAGAAATAGGGCTTTGAGCGAAAGATCAAATATTACACCCATGAGAAAAATGCTATTTAGTTTTTACAGTGGTTTCATTATCTTCAAGTATTTCCAGTGGTGGAAATTTGAGAGTGGCGCCATCTTACATAATACAAGGAGTACTGTTGGATATGATTCTAATACCCGTTTCTACCTTGGTTAACTTAACCGATTGATTGTTCCAACGGAATTGACCAATGGCATCTGTCGTTAATCAGTATTGACAAATAGAAGATTGACGATAGAACTGATTATTCTTCGACCACAAAGAGAATAATCAACTGCTATTGGTCAATTTTCTCACAAATTTACAACTTCCATTGTAGACTCCGCTTCAAAGTAGCAGTCCACTCAGGCCAGTCATGTAGTCAATTTTTTTCTGACGCATGCGTGTGACCGCGTCCATCACGGATTCGTCCGTCAATCTTTCGGTACCGAGATTGGCAGCCCTGTTCCAACGGAAACGAGCCAAGCAGCGCGAACGAGCAACGAAACGCGTCTAGGTACGGAGAAGAGTATGTATGTATCGCGAGGCCTTCCGTGTTGCGCGTGAATGAATGATGTTCGACGGTACGGGGAGGTGAGCGACCGACACGGAACATCATCGTCGACGAGCGGCAGTGTGTGGCGAACAGTGGCGTTGGTGATATGCCAATAATTAGCGTTCGTGACTCCGATGGACGTCCCGCGCTCATAGAGTCAACTGCCGCCGACGCTACGCCGATCAGCATACGCTCGTCTCGGGATCACTGAAGGTAGGCACGCCGATCGGCTTCGGGGATCGCGATCACGCCGTGTCCCCTCGCCTCGCACTTTTGCTCCCTTGGTCTCGAAGCGGGGGGAGGACAGGTGTTCGCGTCGCCGAGAGACAACGGCGTCGTCGTCCCCCTCGAAACCGCGCCAATTAGATGAGGGCTTTTTCCCGCCATATTTTTCAAAGTTCTCTGCGAGACACTGCGAGATTCGCCGTGGGTCTTCGGTAATAGCTCTTTTTTGTCAACTGGTGTTTCCTAAGTCGCACTCGTGAGTCTAAATTGGATTCTGAGTCGAGATGTGGATGCAGGTTCATTCTGGATTGATGACACTCAGACGCGACTGAAGGGTATGATACTTGCCATTAATTTGCAGATTACAGAGAATACAGTGTAGCAAAATGAGTACAGCAATGGAGAATGGGGCTGGTGATAGCGGTCCAAAGCAGAAAACCATCGAAGGCATCTACCAGAAAAAATCTCAGTTGGAACATATCTTGTTGCGTCCAGATACTTACATCGGTTCAGTGGAACCAGTAACAGAAATGATGTGGATTTTTGATAAAGAGAAAGATATGATGGTACAGAAGGATATCAAGTATGTTCCTGGATTATACAAAATTTTTGACGAGATCCTGGTAAATGCTGCTGATAATAAACAACGTGATCCTAAAATGGATATGATCAAAATTGATATTGATTCGTAAGTTCTGCTTAAGTTGTATTAAAATTTCTTTTAGTAAGAATGTATCTCCTTAAATCCCAAAGAGATAGTCCCTGTACAAATTATATTACTGAGTAAACATATCTATAATATTATTACAGTGAAAATAATACTATTTCTGTGTGGAACAACGGAAAAGGTATCCCTGTTGTGATACACAAGGAAGAGAATATGTATGTACCTACCATGATATTTGGTCATCTTTTGACATCATCAAATTATGATGATGAAGAGGAAAAAGTGACCGGTGGGAGAAACGGTTATGGTGCCAAATTGTGTAATATCTTTAGCCATCGTTTTACTGTTGAGACTGCGACGAAAGAATATAGAAAATCTTTAAAGCAAGTAAGTACAGTCTCTTTAATGCTTTGTTCTTTTCTTTCTTTCTCAATATATCATATGCCCATCCCTCTTATAGACATGGGGTAATAATATGGGAAAAGCTAGCGAACCGAGGATCAAAGAATATCACGGCGAGGATTTTACTAAGGTCACATTTTCGCCGGACTTATCAAAGTTCAAAATGCAATCGCTAGATGAAGATATTGTAGCTCTTATGTCCCGAAGAGCGTATGATGTGGCTGCCTCTTCGAAAGGCGTTAAAGTTTATTTGAACGGTACTCGAGTTCCAGTGAAGAATTTTAAAGATTACATTGATTTTTACATCAAGGGGAAAGAGGATGACGTTGGTAATCCACTGAAAATTATATACGAGAATTGCGGGCCACGCTGGGAAGTGGCTATTACTTTATCTGACAAAGGGTTCCAACAAATGTCATTTGTGAACAGTATCGCTACAACGAAGGTAAGTCATATAACTGTGCACAATAAGTTTTCTGTAAAGTGTAAGACTGATCTGTGTATTTAAGATTATCTGATATATCAACAGGGTGGGAGACACGTCGATCATGTAACAGAGTTAATAGTTAAGCAGTTGATCGAGACGTTGAAGAAGAAGAATAAAGCCGGTGTGGCCATCAAGCCGTTTCAAATCAAGAATCACTTGTGGATCTTCATTAACTGTCTCATCAACAATCCCACGTTCGATTCTCAGACTAAAGAGAACATGACCCTACAGGCGAAGAGTTTTGGCTCCAAGTGTACACTCACCGACAAGTTTATCGCTAACGTAAGCATAAATATCTGTCTGTCTCTATGAATATTTATATCTAGTCTCATCTTCTTGGTTCTCTTCACTCTTTCTACTCATCTTGCTATTTTTGCAGATCACCAAAATCGGCATCGTAGAAGCAGTGTTGACTTGGGCGAAATTCAAAGCTGACAGCCAGCTTCAGAAGTTAGGTCCTAAGTCGAAGCAAAGAAAACTTCAAGGTAAGATTATCATCTTGTATTCTTCTTTACACGAATGATTATCCGAGAAAAATTTGACGAGCATGCGTGCTTCGCAGGTATCCCCAAGTTGGAAGACGCCAACGATGCAGGAACCGGCAAATCGTTGGAGTGCACTCTCATATTAACCGAGGGAGATTCAGCCAAAACAATGGCTGTGTCCGGTATCGCCTCCATAGGTAGAGACAAATACGGCATATTTCCATTGAGAGGTAAATTCTTGTTTTATTGGAAGAAAAAAGAACTTGGATATAAATTTCATGGTGTAGCAATAACAAAAATTCGAACACAGGTAAAATGTTAAACGTGAGAGAAGCCACGCACAAACAAATCCTGGAGAACGCCGAGATCAACAATTTGATAAAGATTCTCGGTCTTCAATACAAGAAGAAGTACGAGACCCGAGATGATCTAAAGACGTTACGCTACGGAAAGATGATGATCATGACCGATCAAGATCAGGTGAACTTTTTCGCTCTATACAGATACACGCTGTATTAATTACACAATAATTATCATACGTGTACTGACGCTATAATTTGCGTTCTCACAGGACGGTTCGCATATCAAAGGTCTCTTGATTAACTTCATCCATCACAACTGGCCGTCGCTATTGAAACTGAACTTTATCGAAGAGTTCATCACGCCTATTGTGAAGGCCACCAAGGGCAATCAGCAATTATCATTCTTTTCACTACCAGAATTCGAGATGTGGAAGAAGGAAACGGACAATTTTCACACGTACAAAATCAAATACTACAAAGGTGTTTATTTAAAGCCAAAAAGAAACATATATATGTATCCATTCATCAACTGTTGCAATAGTAAACGCGTTGCATCGTCCATTTGTTAACATAATTTGCATTCGCACAGGTTTGGGTACTTCCACTGCCAAAGAGGCAAAGGAGTACTTCGAGAATATGGCCAGGCACCGAATACGTTTCCGGTACGACGGTGAACAGGACGACCAGAACATTATTATGGCGTTCAGCAAGAAATGCGTAGATCAACGCAAAGACTGGCTAATGAATCATATGAATGAGACAAAAAGGCGGAAGGAGATCGGTCTTAGCGAGCGTTATCTCTACGAGAAGGACACGCGTGCTGTCTCCTTTTCGGATTTCATCAACGTCGAGCTGGTGTTGTACAGCAATTACGACAACGTGAGGTCTATTCCAAACATGATCGATGGCTTCAAACCGGGCCAGAGGAAGGTGATGTTCACTTGCTTGAAGCGCAACGACCGACGCGAAGTGAAAGTGGCACAATTGGCAGGTTCGGTCGCCGAGCACTCGGCGTACCATCACGGCGAGACGTCCTTGATGGCGACTATAATCAATCTCGCGCAGAATTTTGTCGGCAGCAACAACATCAATCTGCTGCAGCCCATCGGTCAGTTCGGCACAAGACTGGCCGGAGGAAAGGACGCCGCCAGTCCAAGATATATTTTCACTATGCTCAGGTACATTCCACGTCGTGGCGATTGTTCCACGTGGATATTTGTGTGACGAATCATGCAACTATCCATCTACTTTCTGTTTTCTTTCCCGCATAGCCCACTGGCGAGGTATATATTCCACAAACACGATGATGCGCTCTTGAAACATGAATACGACGATAATCAAAAGATCGAGCCTGTCTTTTATATACCGGTGATCCCTATGGTGCTGGTGAACGGAGCCGACGGTATCGGCACCGGCTGGATGACGAAGATTCCAAATTACAATCCGCGGGAGATCATCGAGAACTTGCAGAGGATGATGGATGGCATCGATCCGAAACCCATGGTAATGATAATGTCGCTAGAGATACCGTTAGATTATCTAGAGTCAGTTGAGGGTATAATTTCAAAAGTATTGCACGCGATAGATTACAAGATGTGTTTGGGATAAAGATGTTCACATTTGATGTTGATATTTCAGACGCCGTATTACAAAAATTTCAAAGGCGTCGTGGAGAGCTGCGGGGACTTCCGTTATGTCATAAGCGGAGAGATATCGGTGATAGGACCGGACAAGTTGGAGATCACCGAGCTTCCCATTGGCACGTGGACGCAGACTTACAAGGAAACCGTGTTGGAACCCATGTTGCACGGATCCGACAAGACGCCAGCCGTCATCACGTAAGTGCTCCTTGCAATCTTGTATTATTGTTCAATGGAGGAATTTGTAGGTACCGTTTCCTCATTCTCTGCGTGCTTCATCACTAGGGACTACAAGGAATATAACACAGACACAGCGGTGCACTTCATAGTGATGTTGAATCGTGACAAATTGCTGGAGCTGGAGAAAGACGGTCTTCACAAAGCGTTCAAGATCCAAACAACGATGACAATAACATCCATGGTAACTCTCATCGGCATGTGGCTACATCGACCGGGTCACATAACGGAATTATGTCAACTGTGTATGTTTGTGCAGTGCGCCTTCGACGAGAATCAATGCCTGAACAAGTACGACAGCGTGATACAGATACTGAAGAGATTCTACAAGGTACGAATGGATACGTATCACAAGAGGAAAGATTACCTGGAGGGTGTTTTGCAAGCGGAGGCGGCGAAGCTGTCGAATCAAGCGCGCTTCATCCTGGAGAAATGCGACGGCACGTTGGTGATCGAGAACAAGAAGAAGAAGGACATGATCGCGGAATTAGTCCGGCGCAATTATGAGTCGGACCCGGTGGTAGCGTGGAAACTGTCGCAGAACAGGGAGCAAGTGCTGGTGAGTGGGTATAATTTCGTAAGGGCACTCAGTGCAATGCAGAATCGCAATTACTTATCGGGCTTTATTCATTCTGCTACGTCAGGAGGATCAAGTAAGTTATTATAGGAAGAAACAGTATGTAAAACTTCCAATGCGAACTTAACGCCTCGAAGGTCCTCTCACGACTATAGCCATTGTGTCCAGCGAGTAAAATCCTTCGGCAGGGGACTCCTTGTCATTTGAGGAAAATGAGCAGGGAACTGTCGATCGATGAGTCGCTTTGGATCATGGCTGTCTCTGTGAGGAACCTTTGCACCGGCATAATTGCACGATTTTACGAGTAATTGACATTGTCACGGGCAAATAGGAGGAAGTCGCGGAGAACGATGATGAGAACGCCGCGGCTGCAACCGCCATCACGATGGAGAGCGAAAATTTCGATTACCTTCTCGGAATGACTATGTGGACTCTGACGAAGGAGAAGAAGGACGATTTGCTGCGGCAACGGGATGAGAAGGTGGCAGAGCTGAAGAGACTGCAAGCTCGCACACCAATTTCTTTGTGGAAAGAGGATCTAGACAATCTATTGAGCGAGTTAAATAAGGTGATATGATCTAGAAGAGCAGTCATCTTCTGCAAAGTGGACAAAATGATTCCGTTCTTGACTATCACACGATTTCTGCACTTGTAGCTGGAAGAGAAGGAACGGAAAGAGGAAAACAAATCGAAGCAAACTGTTAAGAAGCCGCCCTCGAAGTTCTACAAGGAGGACACTCGTCGCATAGTGCCAGTCATTGACGTTGAGTTGAAGAAGAAGATCGAAAAAGCCGACATAGTGTCGAAAGACAAGAAAGAGGGTATAAAGAAACCGCGGGTAAGTCTATTACTTGAATCTTGTTTGATTGATTCGGACATTCCTCAACGTGTTGTTGTAAAATCTTGTATCTAGGTGAAGAAGGAGCTAATCTCACCGGAGGAAAAAGACGAGTTCGATGCATTAATTGAGTCTAATTCGAAGCCACTCGACGACAGGCTTGGAATTTCCCCAGAGAAGATTGAAAAGAAGGCTGGAAAGAAAGGTTAGTATTGAAGTAGCGCTAAATTTCAGCTAATCAGTGGGTGAAATAGCGCAGTAAGGATTTTTTAACTATGCACACTGGAATGTTCGACAAATAGGAATGAAGCAGTCGACGTTGCCGTTCAAGCCAATAAAGAAGAAGAAAGATAAGGACTCGGACGACAGTGACAACATCGATTTCGGTAGTATTTCGCCACCTCCACCACGCACGTCCCGCAGATCCGCAGGTTCGATTATCGGTTATTTCTTGATCTCGATCGCGGCATTACGTCAATAATGCATATATTGTTAATAGCATGTATTGCTCGATGAAGTTTTGCTCCTACCAATCGCTAAATCTGTTTTCACAGTCAAAAAGAAGTATACCGTGAGCAGTGACGATTCGGACGACAGTCTCGAGATATTAAGTCCTTCCGATTCCGAGCCAGCGTACGTATACAATCGATATTACGATTTATAGCGCATATATAATCATGTAAAAATTTTATACAAGTCATACAAATGATGAAAAGCAAGAAAAAGGTTTCTACCTTTTCCAGAGTTTTGCAACGCATCTGTGTTCAATAGAACAATGTATCTTTTGGCAATTCTCAGAGGATACATTTTTTTACTGAATGTCACATATGTTCTAAGATTTATGGAGGGAAAAACGTCGTCTTTGCTTTTCTTCCATTGACTGTACGAAAGTTTGTTTCCTTTTCATTGTGTGGTTCTCTTGTAGGAACAAGCAAAAAGTTATGATGCTGAGCGATTCGGACGACAATTTCAAACCCGCCAAGAAACCACACCAGCCAGCCCGTAAGTGCGCGCAATAACATATTGTTACACGCGACCGCCTCGCGCATACCGGGTTTGCGAGATGAACTTGGACAAGACTTTAAGAAAAGAAAGAACGCTTCTTCAAATATATACAAACTCTCAGTTATTAACGAATTCTCTCGTTCTAACAATAATTAAGAATAGCGTTTGAGTTACGTCAGCTTGCAGCGACAGCTCGTGACTCTCTCTCAGCTGTTGTTTTCTTCTTACCGATTTTCCGTCGTCCAGACAATCATCCTTCAGCTGTTAAAATCAGCATCAGATACCTAAGGCTCGCGGACAACGGACGCTGCCACAAACCTTGTGGCTCGAACATAATATATTTAATAAAGAGGTATATGAAGAGTGAACATACGCATGCTGAATATTGATTTGATTTCACAGCGAGCTCAGAGGAGCTTTTCGACTCGTTGGTCGGCAATTCTTCTCCAGAGAAGCAGGCGAAACCCGTGATATCCTCATCCGGGGAAGACTCACCTGTAAAATTCACGCCACCTAAAAAAGGTAATTGGATATCTGCGCTTCTAAACGCATATTGCTCATTATTTTGCAATCAATTAATTCGCAACTTCCCCGCTCACCTGTCCGTTACGTTGCAGCACCCGCGAAAAAGAAGACTGAAAACGGCGGTGGCAAAGCAACGAAGAGGCAGGTGAAGAAGAAATCAAAGTCATCAGACTCCGAAACGGACGACATCTTCGTTAAACAAAATCCTGTGAGTATAAAGCGATTCACGGCGACACGGTAGTGTCCCGGTTTTCTGAAAAATGTGAATTTCTCCACTCGCACAATTTTTCATTTGCAGCCGAAGAAGAAGAAGAAGAAATCCGACTCTGAGGACGATATCATGACCGACGATTTACCGCCACCCCGGAAGACCGCCGGGCGAGTGCGTAAGCCGGTGTCTTACGCTCTGAAATCGGACGACGAGGACTCCGATTGAACGTTCTTATGTCGTGCTGTGAAAGTGCCAGAAAGACGATGCAATTAGCTAAGAAGAGCAGTGGATTCGGAGCCAAGATCGAACTTTTTCGCAGGTCGTTCTCGAGAAACAAATATATCTCTAATAAATGTATCTCTTGAGGAAGTGTATTAAGGAATTCTCCGAAGAACTTTCGTATGGCGATCGCGTTCGCGACGCTAATTAGTAATTTTAACCAGGAGAGGACGTTTCGTCGTGCAGGATCTGCCGAACACATTTTAGGGGAAATCTTCGTATTTCGTATCGTATTTCGGACGGAAAGGAGGAAAGGAAATGAAGAAGGAAAACAGAAAAGTAGTAGTCGTATGAACGTAGATCTGCGCGAGACAAATTTCGGATCCGCGTTCGTGCACACATTTCACTTTTTACTCGAATGATAATTATTGCAATTCGCTAGAGCGGACGCAATATTCGAATTCGCGTATTCTTGGAGTATTCTTGAGATACACCGAATCCCCTTGTACATAAATGTGCATCGCTCGGGTGTGCGTGTAGCGTTGTGGAAATGTGTAAAACTGCAAACACCGTGGACGGTGCTGTTGGATGTGCTCAGAATACTTCAGTCTCATTGCGCGCGCAGTTGGAAGTATCCTCTCGTATTACGAGAAGAAGAAAGAAGAGAAACACATGTGAACTTCGCGAAGAGAGATCACAAATGTTACACTGTCGCGATATATCATTTCGTACGTTAATTAGACGTTTAGCGTACTTTTCGCGACTTTTTTTCTTTTTCTCAAAAACTCGCGAGAAATACGACATGCTCGACGTGCCCCATCGCGAAGGGAACATCCGGCGCCACCTGCGTTATTAGGTAGACTAATTATATATCACAGCGCAATGCAGAGGAAACATACAATTAACTCTTCGGATCTCAGATCTCATTGTCATCGCACACGCTCGAAACTCGTACATACGTTTACTTAGTACTACAATAATGCCACAGGAATCTCGTTTGTGCAATTCGTGCGCATCGAAGATAAGCGGAGGATAAAACGAGACACGAACGAGAATGAAAAGATACAGGAACGAAAGTCTGGAGAAGGAAACATTTTATAAGAAAGAAATAAGAGAAAAGAAAAAACGAACAAAATGAGATACACAATTCTGAGATATATTTTTACATACGTCACAAGATACGGATTTTTCTTTGAGGTTGTGTGTAATAACTAAAGAAATTACAACGGTAAATGTCTATTATACATATGTATACCCACACACATAGGATGAATATAGCGACTATATGCGGCGCTCAATATTAAATAAGTTAAGGGAAACAGTCTGACGTTCACTTTTAAGCTTCATATGGATTACCTGACACACATGTGGTATAAAATAATCGGTTCACTTCGTGCTCGTGTTTCATTCATATAATGAAAATACGTTTCATGATAATGAAAGAGAAAGAAGAGAAACTTCTAGATCGTCAGACACTGAATGAGAGTAGCCGTGTATGTACACGATTCTCGCTGCGACGAGATCGTACAGGTCGAAGTTGAAGCGAACAGTCGGCAGGAAGATCGAGGGAAGACTAAGATACGAGAATCGGAAGTTAATTGGTTTCCTCGGTATGATCATCGTACGTTCTTCTGTTTCTTTTGTTTCCGTGCAATTTATCCTCGAATTAGAGAGAACTGGAAAAGAAAAAGAGGAGAGGAAAGGAAACAGAAAATTTGAGGAGACTCGTTAACTTCGGCGTGTATTATTGATGTTCATTGAGAATTGAATACTCCGACTGTATTATACTAACATTATAGTTCTGTGTATGCGCGTAGTTTGTCCATTTCATAGAATAAGAATGGAAAGGATCATTGTGATTGCAGTTAGCGACGTTTTCGATCACAATTTGCTACCTACTGAAAGGCGAACGTCCTATATGACAAAGTAGTAGCCGAATATATGAATTTCCGTAAGACACCCGATCGGCTAAAACCCTCAGCCTAATTCTTTTCCACACCGCGCATCTCTTCAGCGATTTTCATTTTTATATAATTCACATACATAAATACATAATAAAATGTTCTATCTTTTTAGACACTCGGCGATTCATTGCTCGACGAACCACCGCTCGATAACACGAAAGAGAAACAAAAAGAAGGAAGAAAAAAATATGAGAATCGAACAAAATCTTAAACAAAATACAGCAAGGGACACACAGTGGCTCATATTTAATCAGCTTACTAACTCTCTCTCGACACAGTTCTTTTTTATACACAAATATATGAATTTATTGCTACAATATTTCACACACTATCCTCGATGCGACATCTTTTTTCTTTTTTTTTTTCTTTTTTCCTTTTTCATTTGTGAGGAAAACTCACGACTTGCTTATGTGCAGAGGTGATCGAAAAAGAGAACAATGTTTGATCTTATTGTGACAATTGCGACAGTGTACAGATCGTAGTGATACTTTAACAAATAGGAAGATACTTGTCTATATTGCGCTCGTATTTTTCAGTATATTTCATAATTACCTATATATAACATACATATATAAAACAAATTGCGAGTAAAGAAACAGTGACCAATCCGACGAAGCTTTTACCTTCGAACTCTTTGCTCTCTTTCTATCTTTTCTCCTGCTTGCCTCAAGTTCCTTGTTCTCTCTTCCTCTGCTTTTTTTTAAACACAATTATCAATTTGGCGCATTATTTGGTACAAGTTTTGCATCTTTCTCGTAATGTCCTATGTAGTTGCGACCTGTAAGCACAGCAGTGATGGTATAGATTAAATGAGCTTTGCTGCTGTGTTGCTGACTGCTTGCTCGGCGAGCTTGTTTCGGCACTTGGGGCTTGCAAGTATTCGCGTCTAGCTAATACCAGCACATCTTCTTTCCACATGCTAGGCAAGTTCCCATGAAACTCTGCAAACAATCATACAGTCACGTTGTAAAATGATTCTCAATGTGTTTCCCATCTTTGAATAAAATAAAATGAAAGGAAGTTTGAGACGGAGTACTACCTTTGCTTCGCTACTGACGATCTGTTGGCAAACCGGATATCTCCTCTTGATATCACACGTTTCTTCGGCCTCTCTCGTTTTCGTGCGATTCGTTTCCAAGGTAGAATGACTAAATAAAAGAATAAAAGAGAGAGAAGAAAGGGACACGAAATCTGAAGAAACGCGACAACTTCGGTGTGTATTATTGTGTGTACGCGTAGTTTGTCCATTTCGTAGAGTAAAAACGGAGAGAGTCATTGTGCTTACTGCTGGAGACGTTTTTAACCACAGTTTTTTATCTACCAAAAAGCGAGTGTCCCAATATGTGATATATACAGAGCTCGAATATATGAATTCTCGTAGGACATCAGATCGATTGAAACTCTCAGCCACGCGTTCTCGGCCCAATTCTTGTCGACCTCTTCACATATCTTTCTTCGGTAATTTTCATTTTTATACAACTCACATACATGCGCACGTAATAAAATGTTTCATCTTTCCAGGCGACCGGCAATCATCGCTCGACAATCCAATGCTCGAAAGCAGAAAAATAAAAAAGAACGGGAGAAAGAGAACGTGAGAATTGAAACGAAAGAAACGAAGTACAAACAGGGGCAGATATACAACATCGTGACGCGTGGTTCATATTTAATTAATAAGTTTACTAACTTTAAAGTTTTTTTATACACAAATACGTAAATTTATTGCTATAACGTTTCATACACCATCCTCAACGCAATTCCTGTTTCTTTTTCTTCTTTTTTTCTCTCTTTTTCTTCTTTTTCACTTGTCATGAGGAAGATCGTGACTATGCCGACACGCAGGAGCGATCGAAAAAGAGAACAGTGTTTGATCTTATTGTGACAGTTGACAGTGTACGGATCGCAGTAACACTTTGACAGATAGGAAGGTACTTGTCTCTAAATTGCGCTCAGTGGAAAAAGCTCCGTCTCTAGATAAAAAGCTTTTTTTTTGTTTTTATCTCGTTCCCCCGTTTTGTTTCGTTTTTTCTTTCTCTCATGCACGCGCGTAATTGTAAGTTCGTCTCAATCATGTTCCCAAGAGATTCTAGATATGTGTGTATAAATGCAAAAATCCTTCCTGTCGCGCAAAGTATACGAATATCGTCCAACGTGTGTCCTCGCAATTATTAAGTTCTCTTATGTACCTCTCGCGTCATCATAACGCGAGTTTCGATGGCATGAACGTTCGTTGAACGACACTTTATGATAATCTTTTAAGGCCAGTTGCAGTAATTTTGATAAGCCTCACTCAGCGATTACTTTTTTTCCTTCAACGTGTCCTCGATACGAAAAACGACATATTATGGTAAAATATATGAATAACGATTTCCCTCCGCGTTGCCTTACACATTATTGAATATACGCGCGCCTCTCTTTTTTTCTCGTCACAAGTTCATGTGAGAATCATCGAGCGAAAAAATGGATGCTAGAAAAACCGACAGTCACATACTTGGCAGTTATGTCTTCGGCCAAGATTCTTTTAAAAATTTATGCCATTCCGGAAATTGTTTAGAGCCCCGTAAAGAGAGTCCAGTTTAGCAGACTCGAGTTGCGTTTTACACATCGTGCACCATTGATTGAAAAAAAGAAAAAAAAAACAGAAAATATCTAGCTAAAAGAAAATACACACCTTCAACCGCGTGTTTTTTTTTCTTTTCGTCTTAACAAGAAGTGGGATGCGGGATTTCGGGAACGGTTGGCATTTTCTTTTGTTGTTGTTGTTTTTGTTTTGTTCAAAATTGAAGCGACGGATCTAGTAGTAGACTCTTCAGACTTGTAATGTATTCTCCTCTCTCACCACACTTGCCAATCACATTGATGGTATTGAGTCGTCAATACCCGGTGCCCACGTTGTACCAACAACTGACGCAACACTTTTTAACAACACACACACACACGTACACACACATTCGCTCAATCATTCTTTCTTTCTCACGTTCACTCTAATACGCATTTCTCTCTCTCTCTCTCTCTTTCTCTCTCTCTTTTACTCCCAGAAGCTGCGGCTTGTCGACGGACGCGACTATAATACAAAGCAAGGGCACTTGATAAAATAACTTAGTCTTCTATTTCATAATTATCTATATATAACATACATATATAAAACAAATTACGAGTAAAGAAATAATGATCGATTCGGTACAGCATTTCCCGACGCTTTTATCTTAAAACTTTACTCTTTCTCTCTTTCTTTCTGCCTGTTTTAAATTTGTTCTTTCTTTCCCTCTCTCTTTTTCTCTCCTCATTACCGCCAGATTATTAAACATGTTTAGTCGCTCTTTTACATACATATCCGCTCTCTTGTTATATTGAAGAAAGGGGTAAATGAAAGGAGAGAAATAGAGAGAGAGAGAGAGAGAGAGAGAGAGAGAGAGAGAGAAAGAGAGAAAACAGAAGAGGAGGAAGAGTGAAGGAGGAAAACGTAAACGCCTAACGTACTTCTTCATTACGACGGATCGCCACGGAGTTTTAAACTATGTATGCGTAAGAACGGATTTTACAAGTGGTGGTGGTGGTGGTGGTGGTGGTGGTGGTGGTGATAGTAATGGTGGATTACAATTTTAGTGTTCTTTCGTTTTTCAGTTTTCACTTTGGGAGCACATCGCGATTCTCTCTCTCTCTCTCTCTCTCTCTCTCTCTACTTGCGATCTCTCACTTTGTTGTCTTTCTCTCTCTCTCTCTCTCTCTTTTTCTTTATATCGGTCTATCGTTCCGGCATAGATAAAAGCCCACTCTCGTCTCAGAATAGGAACAACCAACCAAATCTCCTTCGTGTATCGTGTCATGTCGTGTATGTGTGTGTGTCGTGTGTGGGCGTGGATGCGCGTGTATGTTAATCGTTATTAGTCATGATACAAGTAATAATGTTAATATTCGAATAAAGTAACATGATGCGCGAGTCAAGCATTCATGGAATGCCGGGCTGGCGCCGAAAGTCATGCGAGGATAGAGCCACCACAGTTGTCTTCCCACTGTCAATGCTTGTCCTTTTTACACCATATATATATATATTATGTCGGATTTATTAGTTTATATATATATATTTATATATATATAGTATAAATATATACACTCACGCTAATTTTAACAATCCTCTAGCGCTCTCTCACGCACACTAAACGCCAGGAGAGAGGAACGTCTCCGTAAAAGCGATTGCTCCGATTGCTTTTCTCATGTTCTTTTTTTCTTTTCGTTCCTACTTTTGTTCCACCCCCTCCCCCTCCATCCTTCATCATTCGTTGCTGCCTTGACCTGCTATTTTATTTTTCCGAATAGGTTTACTTCTATACCAGGTATTCCAGTTGTTGCATCTTTTTGCTTTTATCGCTGTCCCCCCTCTCTCTCTTTCTCTCTTTTGTTTTTCCACATACGCTTCGTTTCCCCACTCGCCCCCCTCCCCCTTAATCTAAACGTCACTTTTAGTTCACAATGACTTATCACATGTTTAACTTTTCGTTCGCTCGCTCGTTCGTTCGTTCGCATTCTCTCTTGCGCACTTGCTCTCCCTCTCTTTCTTTCTCTCTCGCTCTTTCGCGCGCTCTCTCTCTCTCTCTCTCTCACTCTCTCGTCGTCTCTTTTAAACACTATTATCAAGTCAGCGCACTGTTTGATACAAGGAACGATAATACAATTGAATATTTACGAACACAACATTTTTTGTCATGCTGAATAATGTGGCGTGGCTTGTAGAAAGACGCAAGCTCCTGGACTTGCGGTGACCAGTCTCGCATCTCTCTTGCAATGTCCTATGTAGTCGTCGACCTGTAAGTATAGTTGTGACGGTGTGGTGGTGATGGTGGCGGTGGTGGTGTGGTAATAGTGGTGGTGGTGGTGGTGGTGGTGGTGGTGGTGGTGGTGGTGGTGGTGGTGGTGGTGGTGGTGGTGGTGGTGGTGGTGGTGGTGGTGGTGGTGGTGATGATGGTGGTGGTGGTGGTGGTGGTGGTGGTCATGGTGGTGGTAGTGGTGGTGACGGTGATAGTATCCGGTTTAGTATTTACAATTGGTTATAGCAATCGTTATTTCCCTAAAGATGAGATGGTGTGCAGTCCGAGCGTTCAAGATTTGGCATGTATTGGTATATCGAGGATCTTGTCCTTAGTCCTTCCTCTCCACTACGAACTGCTCGACGCGTTCATACCGCTAAACATGCCAATAGTGAACGAACTTTGCTGCTGCTGCTGCTGTATCTGCTGCTGTTGCTGCTGCTGCTGGCTGTTCGCTTGGCGGCCATGTTTTGGCACTGGGGGTTGCAGGTATTCGTGTCTAGCTAATGTCAGTACGTCTATGCGCTCCTCCTTTCTATACGCTAGGCAACTTCTTATGAAACTCTGCAACAGATCATACCGTCACACGTTATAAGACGAATGAAAATCTGGACACTTTTCGACTTTCGATAAAATAAAATGAAGGCTTGCATCCAAGTACTACCTTTGCTTCGTTGCTGACGGTCGGTTTATTCGCGAACTGAACCTCCGTGGCCTTTAGTATCGTATTCTCCTCTAAAATGGTAGCCTGCGATTGGTTGTGGCCAAAAGGCTGCAAAGACAATATGCTTGTATCATGTACGCGAATACGTTATGGGGAATAGAGTATGCGGCAACACAATCGCGACAAATACCTTTTTACCATATAGGCATTGGTAAAATATAACTCCTACACTCCAAACGTCGACTTTGGACGATATTTTGGGAGGATTTTTGCCAATGACGAAACACTCAGGGGGCAGGTACCTGTTTAATAATTCATTTTAAATGACTGTAATACAAACAATGCGGCGATGTAAATTTAGGAAAAACGGCTAAAGTACGTACCAATAAGTACCCGCTCCTTGTGACGTTAGATCCATCCCGTGATCCGGATTGTAATTCTCCTCGTCCATGACTTTACTTAAACCGAAGTCCGTGATTTTTATTTCGCCGCACACGTTGCCCTCGGTTAATAGGATATTACCTGTGCGAACGAGCGTCGCGTGAGTAAGTTCACTCTCATTGATCCAAAGAAAATGCTCAAAGGATCTTTTTTCGGAAACAATCGACGAAAGATTATACCTGATGTTGGCAGACTTACCTGGCTTTAGATCGTAATGTATGACTGGGGGTTTTATTTCATTGAGGTATTTTAATGCCGATACGACTTGCATAACAATAGATCTCGCTTCTCTCTCGGGTATAGTCTTATGCTGAAAAGAAAAAAAAAAAAAAACACGTGAAATTGATAAAAACATGTTACAGTTGTCAGAGAGGGGAAACTCGCGTGAAATGACAATTGGACGTACCTGCTTGAGGTAAAAATCTAAATCATGGCCATCACAATACTCCAGAACGGTACAAAAGGAATTGGCATCAATTTCAAATACATCATACAATTTTACGACTCGTGGATGATCCAACGCTTTGTGTATATTGTATTCTCGCAACGCATGCCTGTACGCAACAGAAAGAAACGATAAATAGAGACACGCTTCTCTTTATGAGAATACAAGTGTGCTATTAAATGTGTGTTTGCGTTAGGTAAGTCCCTATAATAAAGAAATAATTGGAATATCGAAAACTTACTTTATATAATTAGCTTTTTTATCTTCTTTCCAGTCTTTATTTAATTGATGCACTTTGCAAGCCACATACCGTTGCTCTTTTAAGTCAAATGCCTGTGCAGAAGGGAATACAATTAGCTTGCAGGTATATTCGACAGAATAAAATTCTTACGGATACAAACGAAAATAATGTGGATGAAACGTCCTTGTTACCTTGTGCACTTCGCTGAAACCACCTTTTCCTAATAACATTAGTAGAAGGTAACGTTCGTTCAAAACAGGATGGGAGTTGAATCTCGATTGGTCCTCGTTGTGAATACGCTTCAGCTCCCTGATGTGTAGGTTCCGCTCCCTCTCGAGCTTCTCCATTTCTAATTGCAGATCCGCGTCTTCTTTCTTCAACGCGCTTTGCCTTAACTGAAAACAGAGGAAACGTCGTCGCGAAACATTTGAGAATATAGAAATCTAGAAATGCTTTCGGGAGAAAGACCACCGTAAAACGGTTCTCGGTACCTTGAGTATTTCGTCAGCTTCATAATACTCCTGCCATGTATACCCAGGTACTGCATCTGGCTTCAAGAACGTCGCCTCGGTGCCATTATGCAGGGAGGATTGCGGTTGACTACGTTTTCTGCCAGTCTCGCTGTTCGACGGCCTCTTCTTGAGCAGCAACTTCTTCTGCTTATCGATCTCTTCCCGTTCAGTCGCTATCTCTTCCTGTCGCCGCGCGAGCTCCTGAAACGCGTAACCGTCGGTCCAGTTCTCTTGAAAGGTGGCGCCCACCCTCTGCGTAACGAACTGACCCAGCCTCAGTCTATTTTGCATACACTTCTGCCTAGCCTCCTTTTTTTCTATGTTTGATTTTTCTTTTAATAACTTCTTTACAACGTCTATACACTTATTTATATGTGATTTGTGCTGCTCAATCATTTTCACTTGATTAGCCACTTGAAGCTTAAGTTCGTCCGTTGTCTGTAACAAAAGGTACCAAGGATTTTTGTTTTTAGTACGCGATACGGATTGCAATCGTGTCGTAACGATAACTATCGCTTATATATAATAAGCTTCGAGTTACATATTTGTATGTAAATTCGATGAAATAAGTAAAGCATGCGTAGAAGCGAATTCACACAAGGGGACTGATTAACACAATCGCGAACACATTGCAAACTTACCCTATTTAATTCTTCAATTTTGCTGTTACGTAGTTCTAAGTCCGAAGAAGCTTGAGTTTCAAATTCCTGTATCCTCTGGCAAGTAAGTTCTGTCTGGAATGTAATTTGTATAATTTACGATGAAGCAAGTACGTTACCGTAACATCTGATACATTTGTCATCATCGCTCATAAACACCGGATACCTTGCCGCACCCAGACAGAGCGTGATACACACGAATCGATTTAATAAATTGTCAACGATCTTTTACGCTTGATTACGTAACACGACATTATTTATTGAGCTTTTGAGCTATCTCACTACGATGTACGTTGTCTTTTATCACTTGAAATAAATATAGAGAGAAAGGGAGAGAGAGAGAGAGAGAGAGAGAGAGAGAGAGAGAGAGAGAGAGAGAGAGAGAGAGAGAGAGAGGGAGAGAGAGAGAGAGAGAGGGAGAGAGAGAGAGAGAGAGAGAGAGAGAGAGAGAGAGAGAGAGAGAGAGAGAGGGAGAGAGAGAGAGAGAGAGAGAGGTAGCGAGCGGAACTCAAGCGTGAATAAACGCCGACAGAACTGAAAGATCACACAGGCAGCAAGGAAAACACCAAAAATGTATGCACGTGTAAAGGTTGCTCGTATAAACGCCAATGGAAGTTCTAAAAAAAGTTCCTAGCGGTATAGTCAAACGATACAGGACTCATTGGAACTTAAATGCAGCGTTCAATGAATCCTGAAGGTCAACGTACGTATGCCAAAAGTAAGAAAATATGCCTTCTGATGCTCGCTTCATTGCCCGAGCAATCAGCAATCTCTCGGAACACTAGGATGCATTAGCACTTTTTCGTATCCGTAACGATAAGCACGTTGCAGTAGAGAATGGCATTACAAGGTAGCCTGCATTTGTACAACGACAAATGTATACAGTGCTACATTCTGGCCAAAAATTAGCTGATTTTACTGCAAACATTTGACAAGAAATGCCCATCGCAAGATCATAAGTGCAGGCATACGAAGAAGTCGAACTTATTTACATGGTGAATGGATTACAAACGGAAAAACTTATATGATTGTACAGACAAACTCGAAAAAAGGAAATGATTGATCTCCGCGATGATGATACCTCTGTGGTCGTTATGACGGTCTCATTATTATTCCACGCAAACAATCGACAGACGACATGCCTATGAAAGAACGATCGGTATTGGTAAAAATCTTCAACTGGGCAACTCTATTCTATCCGTATCACATCTTTATCGTCTTAATCGTCAAGAAACATAATTGTCATAGCTTTAGATTTGTTACCTACCTACTGTACGATGGTACTTGTTGTATTAGCTAAGAAGCTAATAGGAGGATCTTTTGAAAATACATCTTACGTATCTCTATCAAGAACTGCCCTGTGGGTCGTTTCTTATAAAATGCTTGCAGATATTACCGAATTTTGCTTACATTTGGGGTGTTAGTCTTCGCTTGCCTGACCTGGCTTGTCCTATTGAGGTTGGTAGGCCTTACCTGCACCTGCTTGCTGACCATGGAGCCTGCAGGTTGTGTTGAAGCTGGTGGAGGAGGAGGTGGAGGTTGTGGATGAGGTCTTGGCGGCTGCATCATTGAAGAGAATTCCGCCACCGAAGAATTGGGTGTTGTTACTTGGGGTGAAAGTAACTGTTGAGGCGATGGTGGATACTATTGGCAAAAAGAGATATACAATTAAAACAATATGGGAATGCAAATAATTGATATTGTCAAATATTCTACATGTGGTGCTTTTTCTGAGACTTACCATAGAATAAGCCTGTTGAGGAGAAGGGCTCTTGGCTCCACCGTGCCGGATAGGACTATTACCCAGATGATGCTTTGGGAAATACTCATTGATTTTCTTATTATCAAGGGCAGCGACTGATCTAGCGCCTTTACTCCCTACAGGTCCTCCTGAAACACCCCCACCTCCATCATCCGCTTTGCGCTTTCTCTTCCTCTCAGTAGCAGTCCGTGATACTTTTTCCGGAGTGTTTGCATCCACCTCCTTATCACTGTGCGATGAGCCTGTGAAATCACAAGTTCAATCAGAAGTGTCATTCAATATCAAGAACACTACTGAGCTTCACAATCTCAATACAGATGACGGTTTGTTCATTGAAAAATATTAATACCCGTATTCATAGTCAGGCCTTATATTTGAGGCCTCCTTATACCCATCCTTAGATGCTGCATGGGTTAATTTATTGGCTACAGACCATTTGAAGATGAACTTAAGGAAGCCTTAAATATAAGGCCTCACTATGAATATGAATGTAAGAAACAGAGCAATTTGTCTAGACGCATGTGATACTATCCTCGAGGCAAAGCAGTTGCCCCAAGGACCAAGGATACCAGGGCAGAAAATTTAGACATATTATTGGTAGAAACCTGTGCATTACCGGCGCGTGTTACGTTTTCGTGATAGAATATAATTTTTTTTTCACTTACCAGTGCTCATGTTCGAATCTTGACTATGAACCGACTGACCAGAGTTTACAGTTGATTGGGGTGCCATCTGAATTTGTGACCCAGCAGACATCTGAAAAGCAGAGGTACAAGAATACGTTAAGTACACTGACATACGAGTCGCGACATCTCAGGGAGAAAAACAAACGCAGAGACGGGGGGAATTAATGCAACGAACCAAATGGTGACGGAAGGAGACATGGTGACAGACTACAGTCACGAGAAGCGCCTGTGCGATTCGACCGTTATCGAGGGTAAGGCTCGCCGCCACATAGTAAAGCCGAATCGAGCGACGATGCAACGATGAGGCAGGCGGCCGTGCTCCACGGCAGAAGGCAGGCGGTGAGCACGATCACGAACGATGGCTGGTGAAGACACGACGGACGGACACGAAGAACGTATGAAGAAAGACGAATGCGAGACGAGGCAGGCGCGAGAAACCGACCGACCGAGCCGATACCTCTCTCGGCGGTAACGAGAGAGGTTACGCTACGCAAACGGCGAAACCGGCGAAACGCTACGACGCTACGAGACACGGCACGAAGAATCGAGATGTTGTTAAAACACACGATTTACACTCCCCGGGGGGAACAAACCTGGAAGGATAGAGAAAGACTTATGGAGCGGAGGAAAGAGGGACCGAGGAGCGGGAGGGAGGGAGGGAGGGACGGAGAGAGAGAGGGGAGGACAGGGGAGGCGGGATCACAGAGGTAGGAGTACGCGGAGGGAGGGGACGAGGAAGGAGAAACGGCAAAGTGCGAGAGAGAAGGTTGCACACGCGCGCACGATGATGGCAGAGCGAGAGGACAGAATACTACGGCCACGCGTGGAGCGAAAGAAAGACAGTGAGAGAGAACGAGTGAGCGAGAAAACGACAGAGAGAGAGAGAGAGAGAGAGATTGACACCTTCCAGAACGACCTATGGTGGAGTCCCATAGTAGTCAGCGTTCGGGGCCGATCGGCAGTGTGTCAACCGCAGGCGGAATTTCGCGCACGGTCCTTCCGCAAGTAGCGGCGACGGCGTGCGAGGGAAATGTCCGATATATGTTTAGAGCTAGAGGAATCACGACAAAATGGAGGACCTTAGAGCGGCGGGAGGTAGAGAGAGAGAGAGAGAGAGAGAGAGAGAGAGGAAGAGAGGAGGAGGGAACAGAAGGGTGACGAGGTTTCCAAGAGGTACGGCCGAGGGGCAAGAGGAGTGGAAGGAGCGAGCGGCGACGGCACGGCGGGGAGGGAAGGAAGGTTAGGTGGTGGCGGGGTAGGAGGTAAGAACTCGATGGCGCACGGCGGTCGGTCGGAGAAGTGCATGGGGGATCGGGAGGCACGGACGCGCACCGCGAGGGGGCAGTTTTACTCACTACGTTGCGCTTCTGAACTCTCTGTGGCTTGGCCTCGGTTAACTGGCTCTCGTGTCACGCATATTTTCGTATGCGGCGGTCGGTGGCGCGGAGAAGTGAGAGAGAGAGAGAGAGAGAGAGAGAGAGAGAGAGAGAGAGAACACCGGCGGGGGGCGCGCGCGCGCTGCGCCTTCGATTAACAGCACCGATAAGCCAGAGAAGAGAGCGACGACACGCTACGTCATTCTGGCCGGTCGGAGCGAGCGCGCGTGTGACGTCGTCGTCGGCGTAGAGCGATCCGCGTAGCGATAAATTACGCACCTACGCGCGCGTGGTCTCACTCTTTCTCTCTTTCCTCTCATTCGCTCGCTGGTAGGAACGCGACGCGGCGCTGTGTGTCTAGGATTAAGCTTGTCGACCGCGTGCACGTACGTATCACCACGCAGGTTTTTCGCGTTCGTAGCCGCGAGAAAATCAGAGTGACGACGCGACAGAAGAGAACTGCGATCGACGACACTCGTCGAGTGCTCGAGAAAAGACTTTGGTTTCTTTTGAATATCGCGCGCGCGCGCGCGCTGTCCGTCGTGTGCCTGAAGTTACACAAGAGAGAAAGAGCGCGACCGCGACACAGTCGCGGGCGCAGCCTCCCCCTTCCGATGAATCGCCGAAAAATTCGGCTGGCAATTTAATTCATTCGGTCAGCGCGTCGCGGTCACGCGTGTCTCCTTCTTACATCGCTTCTTCGTTGATGGCTGCTTGTCGCGGTCTGGTTTAAATCGATGGCGCGCGTATTTTTGCTCGCACGCGACGCTCTCCTGACATTGTTTTATTATTTTTCTATTTGGAATGTACAGAGAGGAGCGAATTTTAAGAGAAGATTACGTATGTCCCCCCCCCTCCCGCCAGCGGGTCTACGAAGAATCACGCGATGAACATCACCACAACAGTCACGCTTATTCCATCCTTCATAATAAAATGATCTTTCTCGGGATGGTCGGGGAAGATTCAATCGGAAGAAAACTAGGTTAGTAGCGATGACTGATACTTATCTCATTTTTCCTACTTTTGCAACTTTACGAGCGAAATTGTGACGAGGCTATTTTTCGCCGACATTAACAAGTAGATACATACACAATGACGTCGATTTAAGTTTACGTCGAAGTTTACAAAGAGTTAATCCATTTTTCAAGAACACGTTGCTCGACCTGACAACTGACAAGCACCTGACGTTCGTTGCGAAATGTAAAAGATACTGAAAAGAACGCCCTCGCCCCGAGAAGTTCGCGAATCGATGTAAATATAAGACCCAGGCAATTGCTATTCGCATCCAATTTTGTATATAATTCATTGTATTTCATAGCCCGTAATTCAGTCTGCCCGTGGATAGTCCGAGTCACGTGACCGGTAGTAGTAATAGTAGTAGTAGTAATAGTAGTGTAGTAGTGGTAGTGGTAGTAGTAGTAGTAGTAGTAGTAGTAGTAACACACCGCGCTTCGACCTCGACTATGCAACAACGAGATGTTCTATCCCGTGGATTCGCGCATCGTACACGACCGGCACGAACGAACCTGCTGCGAGAGAGGACAGCAAACTTCCTTATCGATGGATCAGTGGCCGTGCCCGGAACTGGGCTAGAGGGCTGGCGGAGAGCGACAAGGAGGGAGAGAGAGAGAGAGAGAGAGAGAGAGAGAGAGAGAGAGAGAGAGAGAAGCGAACGGAGAATCTCGTCTCTCTACGCCGTCGAGATGGCACTGTGTATATGTACGCGCGTAGCAGAAGAATGCATGCATGTGCTATACATGTATGTGTGTGGGTATTGGGTGTGTGTGTGTGTCATACATATATACGTATATATACACATGTAGGGAACGACTCGTCGCACGCAAAAGGTGGTAGCGATGGCACAGCGTGTACGTATGTGTATATACGAACCCGGCAAATCGGAACATGTAGACTTTACTGTGCACTTCTGTAACCCTGGCGACCTGCCCCTGGCGTGGCCATAACCGCGAGGTCAGTCTGTTCACGAACGAACCGACGAAGTACACGGGGATACCGAACGTGTTGTACAGCGCGCGTGATATGTCCTGCGAGAGGCTCTCTGTCCTTCTGCGTCTCTCTCTCTCTCTCTCTCTCTCCCTGTTTCTCTATCGGTTCTTTTCGTCTTTGTCTCTCTTTGGCGCGCGCGTATCGCCGTGCGAAGTGTCCGTTCACTTCGTTCCTTTCTGGACGTGCTCGCGAATGTGGCGTGCGGCGCCGGATAAACAGTAACGACAGCGGCAGAACCAACGGCGAGAACGGCAGTGGTGACAACGACGACGACGGCAGCAGCAGCGACGGCGCCGAGGAATGCTGTCAATGAACACGACGACAAACGGCATTACGCATATAGCGCACGCTCTCTCTCTCTCTCTCTCTCTCTCTCTCTCTCTCTCTCTCTCTCTCTCTCTCTCTCTCTCTCTCTCTCTCTCTCTCTCTCTCTCTCTCTCTCTCTCTCTCTCTCTCTCTCTCTCTCTCTCTCTCTTCTCTCTCTCTCTCTCTCTCTCTCCTCTCTCTTACTCTCTCTCTCGTCTTCGTCCTCGGTTCTCTCGTCTCTCTCGTCGTTCTTCTCTCTTCTCCTCTCTCGTTCTTCTGCTCTTCTCTCTCTCTCCTCTCTCTCTCTCTCTTCTCTCTCTCTCTCTCCTCTCTCTCCTCTCTCGTTCTCTCTCTCTCTCTCTCTCTTCTCTTCTCTCTCTCTCTCTCTCTCTCTCTCTCTCTCTCCTCTCTCTCTCTCTCTCTCTCTCTCTCTCTCTCTCTCTTGCGTCTCCTCTCTCCAGTCTCTTCTCTCTCTTCTCTTCTCTCTTCTCGTCTCTCTCCTCTCTCTCTCTCTCTCTCTCTATCACTCTCTCTCTCTCTCTCTCTTCTCTCTCTCTCTCTCTCTCTCTCTCGTCCTTCTCTCTCTATTCTCTCCTCTCTCTCTCTCTCTCTCTCTCTCTCTCTCCTCTTCTCTCCTTCTCTCCGATCTCTCTCTCTCTCATTCTCTCTCTCTCTCCTCTCTCTTCTCTCTCTCTCTCTCTCTCTCTCTTCTCTCTCCTCTCTCTCTCTCTCTCTCTTTCCCGGCGGAATTGACGTTCGTCGTGCGATACGAGGAAAGGCGAGCCAACCCGGGCGTTGGGACTCACCGTATCGAAAGTGGAAACTGGGAGTGGGCGGTTTCGGAAGCTGGGGTGTCCGAAGCTAACCGTACCGGCGCCTTTGGGCATGGATTAAAATACTACTCCATTAACTTTACTTGTTAT